GAAAGTAAGTATTATTATTTTATTATTATATTATTTAAAATTTAAGAACTATTAAAGAAAAATCACTACTAATGTTACTATGAAAATAGCCTAAAAAGGGTGAAGCTACTGAAGAAGAAACGAAACTTGCTACTCAAGTTAAAGGAGAAATCATGGCAGTAAGACATCAAGCACCAGCTAAAGCTAAGGCTCGTGTAATTTCTGAAGAAGAAAAGAAATTGTCAGCGTACACAATTCTTCGGAAAGCTCGGGCTGATGCTAGATTAGTAGGAATTCGTGCGAAACGAGTGAAAGATGCAGCGGAAAATCCAGATGAGGTTGCTAAAGACAAAAAGCCTAAAAAGTAATTTGCGACTTAATGTCTTTGTGTAAATATGAAAAATAAGTTATGTTTATGTCACATTTTAGACTACTCATTTCAATAAAATTTTATCATTAAAGTTTGTAATATATCTGTTTTTGTATGATGTACATAATAGACTTTAGTTGTTTATTAAGATATAAAACCACAAATGAGATATAGAATAAACGTTATATGTATCATACACTTTAGAAATCTATAGAATTACGAATTTAAAATCTTTATAGTTTTTGTTTCTTTTTTTTTTCTATATTTTAATAAACCAATTGTTACGTATATGCTATTATTCCTTACATAATATTTTCATACAAATACGTTGATAAGTATTGTATATATTTAGTCCATTTATAACTAGATTTTAACTTAACTTAAATTTTAAACGTTAAATCAAAACAGTTTTTGGTTGGTAGCATTTATCAAATATTATCTTTGTTATATCTGTCAAATAATATAAGGTCTAAAATAATGAAATATCAAGTATAAATATAAATGTACAAGAAATGAAGCCTGCTTCACTACTTAATTAATTAATTAATTAATTAATTAGCAAAGTAATAGATAAATATTCATATTATCAATTAATATTACCAATAATCAATTTCTAAATAATACTTTGGTTATTATATAATGTACAATTGAAAATATTTATATGTTAATATTTTAAACATGTTAAAATATTCTGCTTTTATGTTAATATTTTAAACATGTTAAAATATCCTGCTTTTAGCAAATTATCAAACTAAATCTAAAGAATAATAATATATTATTTAAAGATTTTAATTCAAATTTATCATCATTTAAGTCTAATACAACATCCAGCTGTAATTTTATAAAATTTATATTTAATATATATTAAATATAATGTAAGTTATATAAAATTTAAGGTAAATATTAAATATAATGTAAGTTATCATAAAGTTTATATCTAATGT